AGAATAGTGATGAATCGTGAGTAAAAATTTGATTAATCTTTGAGCTAGATTGCTTTTTTATGAAAGAAAAACAAAAGCTAAAATATATAAAATACAGATCCAGCTTTAAAATACTCTCTTCCAGACTTGTGCCACCGACACAAATCAAGTGCAAATGATTCTGGATTCCGTTATCGACATGATCATTCAAGCGAATCTACAAGGTTGTGGCTTGTATTGATCGTTTTCTTTTTTATTGATCATTTTTTGATTTTTCCCTTCATTCTTACCTTTTTTACATTCATTTTATCGTTTTTATTCTCAAATCGTTTTATCTCTTTTGTCTTTGCTTTTCTTTGGTCACTCCATTTGAACGAGTTATTCCCGTGTTTTTGATCTCATTTGAATTATTTGAATTGTAAAAGGTTAGGCTTCTGTTTATTGCTCAAATCCTAGTCTCTCTCTCTCTCTATTCATTTTTGACATTCTAGTCTATCTTCATATCCCTTTTCAAGACTCGGCAAAGAAAAACGGCTGAATTTTCATATGTTGCAAGGAAATTTTCTGTGATTGATTCATTGATACTATTGGAATAAACTAACTTATCAAATTATTTTAAAACCAGCAATTTTCAGCTGAAAACTGCAGCTCAGGCTATGCAGTTTTCAGCTTCTAGTGCAGCTGAAAACTGCAGCTCGGAGAACGGGAAGTTTAACTACGCGACTTTACGCCCGTCATTATGAGGATAACGTTCTATTAGAGTATTTACGATACTTTAAATGGCATTGGAATGCTGATTGCACGGATTCTAAGGGCGGAAAACCCAAATTCAGTAGACGAAAGACAGAAAAGACTTTGAGATTCAATGGATTTCAGGCGAGAAATTGATTCAACAAGAAAGCACTTCAAATAAAACAAAAAAGCTTCTTCTAAAATGAAAGTGACGTCGATGAAATGAAAATTTGGGTCAAGTTGAACTCGAAATTGACCGTCGTTTTGATGAATGGCTGTGGCCAATCACTTTGCTTTCATAAATAGACAAAACTTTTCAAATGCAACCTTTTTTCAGCTGTGAGATCAATGATAGATCATTGAAATTCTACGGAAAGCCAAAAGACCAAAATTGAGATAAACATTGAAAAATGATTGCATTTCATTCTAAACTCCATATTATTTTTTGAATTATCCAAGTCACTAGCACAAAATTTATAAGTAAAGCACTCCAATTGTTCGTTTAAGTATGCTAAACCCCAAAAATATTTATTCAGCTCCCGGTAAAAAAATTTTGGCATGTGGAGAAGCTTTACGAGGCGCAGAAGTTGGCAATCCTTGTTGGCAATCATTGCTTGGAAGCGGCCGAGCGACCCTTCTTCTAAAAAGCTTGATAACATAACAAAGATACAAACAAATGTGAAACAAACCTCGGACTTTGCGGATTTCGATGACTTGGCTTTGTCGTCCTTGCGCGAACGAGTGCTCTTCACAACACCAGCGGCACGGCGAGTTGATGCCTAAAACAAAAAAGTGAAGTTGGCTTTTAAAAAGAATCAGTTGAAAGTGTCAACGCACCGATTTGGAGCGTCCACGACCGGAACCAGCGCTCTTCAAGACACGACCAGCTCGTTTACCCGAGGCCTTAGCAAAAAAGTTATGCGAATGAAAATTAAGTAACTCACCGAGCGTCCGCTCTTTGCCGCACGCTTCTTGTTGGAACGAGGGGTGCCCGATGCGGAGCGACGGCGAGTTGAACGAGAACGAGAACGTGATGCGGAGCGACGACGGGTTGAACGAGAACGAGAACGTGAACGTGATGCAGAACCGGCACGCTTGGCAGTGGAACGTTTACGCTTGACGGGAGCCGCCATCACCGAAGCCGAACGAGAGCTTTGACCACCGGCAGAAGATGGAGAGGATGCAGAAGATCCCGAGAAACTTCCAGAATTCTAAATTACAAGATTAAATAAAGAAAAAGCGCAACGCGTACCTGGGGTCCCGAAGGGCTCGAGTGCATTTGTTTGATCGTACTAGATGGAAGGGGTTTCTAAAGAAACAATTTATAAACCAAAAAAACGGCAAACCAAAAGCTCTTGATCAAGACGGCGAGCTCGAAAGGCTTCGCGAAGGGCTTGATGATGAGATTTGCCAAGGTAGTTGAAGATCGAGGCTCGAGTGCGCGAACGACCCGCACGAGAACGAATAGAGCCAGCACTTGAAGAAGGCCTTGAGCGAGCAATACGACCAGAGCCTGAGCGAGCAATACGACCAGAGCCTGAGCGAACACGAGCCACCTCTGAAAAATGAAAGATTGAATAAAGTAAAAGCTTATAGGTAGATTAGATTCATAGACTATATTCGATACTTAAAAAAGTAATTTAGAGACCTTAGGAAAAGTAACTTCGAAGCTAGAAGTATAACAACATAACAGCGAAGGTACTAGAAGCATAACAACTCGAATTAAAATATTCGTTTGAGTACTACTATGTGTCGGTATGCTATTTTCATTAACTGTTTTTAGAAGCGGTGAATCGACTAAAACACAAACGGTTTGTTTTATTAAAAAGCCCTATCTTTTTTTCTACAAAATGCTTCTAAAGTCTTTGACAAAAAGCGCTTGTTTTGAGAAATTTCAAGAGGTGAGAAGGCGAGTTGTAAAAATTATTCGATTTGACCCCTTTCTTCTACAGAAACCTCTTTAACCTGTACAGTTACAGGTTAAAGAGTTACAGTTACAGAAACCTGTAAATAGAAAAAAGCTAGAACACAAAACGCTAGAAGTAGCAGAAAAAAAAATCGTCGCATCGTTTTGCTCTATCTTTCTCTTTTAAGAATTTACTTGCGAATTTGCATATCAGATCAAAATTTGTTTTAAAATACCAACAATTAAAACAATTAAAACACTTAACACTTTTTATTTTTAGCGATGCAAAGTTTCTTTGGAGGAAACTCGCTAATAAAAGAAAATGAGCAAGGGATATCAACACATAGTACTCAAGCTAATAAAGAGTAATAATAAAGTAAACGAAGAAAGAAAGAACAAAAAAAAACCCACTCTTGGTTGAAGCCATTCCAGAAGTCGAATTGAGTTGATCGGGCGAGAAGATCAAGATGATTTTTCCCCAACTTTGCGCTTCCTTTTATTTGATCGTTAAATTCAAATTTGAGAGTATGCAAAATCACCGTACCCCACGTTCTGCGCTTGCTAAAGTGCGCCCTTTTGCTTATTGCATTCTTTTCATTCGCGGGAGTGGGACAAATGCAGCCTTTTGTTTTGCGCACCCGGACATTTGCGCACCTTTTTTTCCGCACCTTGCCCATTAGCGCACCTTTTTTCGGGTTTTAAAAAGCTAATACATATTAACCTAAAGCTCTAAAAAGCTAATATTAACCAATTTCTATGCCAAAAGTTGTTTTTCTAGGTAATTTTAGGGCGTAGAATCGAAATTTTGACATATCAGAGCTTGTGGAAACAAACGGACGGAGTTATACAAAGAGAAAAATCGACAATTTTCTGTAATTTGATCTAGCCGTTTTGTTTTGATCTAGCGTCTTTCAAATTGGTTCCACACGCTCTGATATGTCAAAATTTCGATTCTACGCCCTAAAATTACCTAGAAAAACAACTTTTGGCATAGAAATTGGTTAATATTAGCTTTTTTAAAACGCAAAAAAAGGTGCGCTAATGGGCAAGGTGCGGAAAAAAGGTGCGCAAATGTCCGGGTGCGCAAAAAAAAGGTCGCATTTGTCCCACTCCCTCATTCGCACAATTTCTTCCCTGTTCAAGCCTCGTTTTTTTAGCCATTACATCAGTTCCCATCCATTTGTATTTCTTATTTGTTTATGGATCAAAGCTGACGCTGAATGCTCCATAATTGTGTGGTACCGGATGATCCTGATGTCAAAAAGCCGGCGTTCATCTAACTGAATTTTGGAATTCTAGAAGATGACGAATATCCGAAATTTTTCGAAAAATGGAGGATTCTTTGGATGATATGGTTTTAAAGTTGATAGAAAACACGAATACATTGAAAATTAGTGCATCAAATGCATCAGGTGCATTTAGCTGGAGGAAACAATTCATTTCACTGATTTGCCTGGGCAAATCAGTTTGTCTCATCAGAGATTTTTCTGTTGTGAAGCTTTCTTTACAACAGACAAATGAACTAGTGATTGCAGTCGAAATGGGAAATAGTTACAGGGAATTTTTGTAAAAAGAGCTTTCTCTGTTCCTCTAAAATCATTCGTTTTTCGAAAACTTGCCAACTTTCTCGACTACCGTAATCCTGTCTCTAGCTTTCATCCAATCTTTCTACATTTAGTCTGATTCCGTGAGGGTTAACAAAGGATATCGAAGATCCAAAAAGGAAATTGATTTGATGAAAACTAGAGACAAGATGATCACGGTAGCTCTTGAAGGTTGAAACGTTTTAGAAAAAGTGTTACACAAGCGAATCATTCTGGTGAAAAGCGTGGATTTGATTAAATGTGTTGCTGATATAATATGCAAACCCCTTTTCTATTTAGATGTTCTTGACGTTGAGCGTCACATTCTTCAAGAAAGTATAATGAAAAGAGATCTGCATAAAAGAAACTTTGGATGCGAAAAGCGGTAAGATTTGCGTAAAGGGGAATAGTTTAGGCCGCAACAAATTTGATAAAGAATACTTTTCTATGAATATAAAATTTTGAAAATATTGTAGACTTATTTACCAACCTAATATTACTGTACTAGGTATGCGCTTTACTGGCTCTGTACTACGTGGTTCTGGGTAAAGTAATCGACCTGCTACTGTAGTGGAGTAGTCACTATTAGAGTCTAATTTCAACCTAACGCTTTTTTTGTATTTCACGACAATTTTTTAAGTGTACTCCCATTTTTAGTCAAGTTCTTTATCAATCACTTTATTTAAAAAAGGTGACAACACATGAAAGCTAGATAAAAATATAGGTAGATAGGTGAAAATAAAAAAGAACAATAAATTATTGAGCCCAACAAAATTTGGGCAGCGGCACAAAAACTATTAGATGTTCTCGATGTCGATTTCTTCTCCATTCTCGTCGTTGACAGCCGTGATTTGCTTGTTGAGGCGCTCCGCGTTTTGCTGTGCCATCTGAGAGGTCTTTGCTCCATCAAACTAAAAAAATGATAAATTGTCTAGCAAGTTCTGAAAGTAAGCAACGCAACTAGTTAGAAGCACAAACCTTGATCTCATCGTCGTCGTCGTCATCGTCGTCGTCATCTTCAGTCTCTTCTTCGGCCTCCTTCAACCAATTGATCACTTTCTCACAAGCGGCAATGATCGCCTTTGACTCGGTTTTCGAGACAAACTTTGAAGTTGGCTAAATCAGGCTTTTATTTAAGAATAGAAAAAAGCCGACTTGTACCTTTTCAGCCCATTTCAGGATTGAGTCCTCATCACAAATGTCAGTATCGTAGAGTCCCTTGATGATGTGCGGTGCACGGACAAGAAGAACGTCCTTGAACTTGGTGACCACCTGTTCGATTCCTCCGAGCAAGTAACGCTGAGCCTAAAGAAAATAGATTTTTTAGACAATTTAAATCAATCCATACCTTCTCATCATTGGCCGTAAATTGCAAGAGACATTTCTTGTACTTCTCGATTTGCTTTTCGGCAACAATTTGTTCATTGAATAGCACGTTAGCCAAGAGTAGAGTCGCCTTCTGCTTCAGCTCGAGTCTCTCGGCTTCATTGCGAAGTGCCTAAATATAAAAGTTTAAAATGCACATTTACCAATTTTAAATTAATAGCTAAGTAATTGGGTACCTTTCCATCGCCGATCTCGTTTTTCTTCTTCATGTCCTGGAAGTAGGTGTACAGCATCTCGAGACGTTCCTCAATCGATTTGTCCAGATCGGCCGAAATGACAAGTTTGTTGATGCCGGATGTAAGTTTCTCCGACTCGACCTCTGGAGCCCAATCTTCGTCCTCCTCATCAGCGATTTGAACCTCATCTCCAGACGAAGAGTCTTGCTAAAACTTTGCATTAGTAGGACATAAAAATTTGAGCGTTTGCGATTTAAAGTTTAAAGCTATTTCTCTCGGTAACTAAATAAAGTGTTACCTTATTTTCATTGTTCTCGTCCTGAGCATCTGTTCCATTGGTGCCGTTTGTCTTGCTTGGCTTCTTCTCCTTGACCACTGAAAAGTCCACCTCAATCTTTGGCGGATTCTTGACAATGAACGTAGCGAGACGATGACGTTGATCAATGATGTACATGTGACCACAAGCCTTGCATTTCGAGTTGATTTGCTGCTTGCGTACAGTCTAAATTTAAAAATATTTCAGAATATAAAACACAAACTTACAAGTAAAGTCTCAGGATTTTCGCAAGCCGGACAAAGCACGAATTTCTTGATAAAGCCGTCTAAGATGTCTTGAAGCTTGGCCGCATCGTGTTCTCCGTTGACGATGTAGCGTTCATTCTTCTGGTCGACTTGCGTCTGCGCTCCGAGCTCACAACCGAAGTATTTTGTTGGATCTAAAATCAAATAATGATATCTTTTAACTAATGAAATAATATCCTTTTAACCGGGTCTTGTTTAACCAAGGTTTAAACAAAAAAGTTAAACTCACAAGTAGGAGGACGCTCGAGAGCCTTGGCGATCTCGACCATATTAGAAATGACGGTTTTAATGCCATTTCCCTTCCCCTCGACCTTGGCTGAAATTTATTCTATTAGAAAGAGAACAAAAAACAAAACATAGGTAAGTAGTCAAATTTTGGGAACAAACCAAAACAAATTTTAATACGAAATACAGACACAAAATTTGAAACCTTGGATACGCGGCATCTTGTAGCGGTAGAATGGATCGGTGACGGAGCGGTTCACGTTGAGAGCCATCTTTTAGGATAGGTATAAATTCTTCTAAAGGCAAATGATTAAAAGTGAGCATAAGAGACCGCCAACCTTTGTCAAAAAAATTGTAGGTTTTTGTAGAATTCACAGTGCATGCGCAACTGGAATTGTTGATGCAGGGAAATAAAAAGCTTGTAGCCTTCAGTTTCTTCCTTTTTCTCGACAACCGCCCTGAAGAGAGAAAAAAATTTATACAGAATGTAAAATCTTAAAGGTTTAACGTCAGTTATAATGAAACGAACCCTGATCAGAAAAGCGACTATGCATGCAACGAAACGTTGAAAATGAAAGGTCCAACTTTTTCTCAGTCAAAGGCTGTCAAAATAAAATGATAATTGTTGTATTCTAATCTTTTTAACTTTACTTTTCAACGTTTTTAGATTTAAAAAATCTTACCCTAAAAATCCTAAACTTACAAACTGCCCAATTTAAATCAAAAAGCATAAAATGACCTTCTTGAGGGTTGTCAATCATAAAATTCCTGAGGACGGTGATCCTTTCTTTTGGGCTGATGAACATGCACAGTCGGTGCACTCCGGTTTTCTCAATGTAGAGTTAACCTGAAAATGAAATCTTAATCAAATCCAGAGAATTTGAAACGAAAAATGGGGAAAGCTATTGCCACGCGAAAAATCGAAGGAAACGTGTGGAAATTGTTGGCCAGAAGCAACGTCATTTCGTTAAGTGGGGAAAAGTGAAAGAAATAGGGGTCGGGATGGACGACCAATCGGAAATGAGCCGCCCGTTGCAATCGATCGCCACCATAGCACAGCAATTCCACGCGGGACCACGCAAAACTAGAAAGCCACAAAGCAAAACCAGAAAGAAATGAAAGAAATTGAGTGAAGGGTGGCAAAATATGGCGTGAAATTGTCAGAAGAAAAACGATAACGATAGCCGTTGGCATTTCTGGGTCCGATTTGTGCAAGAGCATCAAAAATTTCAAAAAACGGGCAAAAGGGGCAAAAGGGGATTCAAAAAGAAACCTATAAAATGCGAAGAAAGACAAATTGATTTTTGTGAACTGAAAATTTCCCTCGCGGCGCTTCTATTTATGCAATTTTTTTCTCATTTAAAGATGTTCTGCTAAACAATTGAATGAAAGATTTTACAAAAATTTTTAGTAAATAAAAAACTTAAATAAGAGTTTTTGAACTGAACTGAAAACTTTTTTCTCATTTTATAGATTTACTAACAATATCAATGGATAATAAAAACAAAAACGGCAGTCTCTAAAGTATATCAGCCATCAGCCTTTTAGAAAGCCAATCAGACCACAAAGCAGCGAACAAGGATGAGAAATTTCTAGTTTCACAAAAAGCTACATATAAGGATTTAGCAAAAGAGAGTTTCTATAAAAGTTTCACACCGTATTTCAATATTGATTCACGAAAAGGGAAACGGGGGTTGGGTGGAGAAAACTATCGTCGTGGGAAGAGGGGAGCCGGTTTTCCGTTCAGAGCAGTGAGTGGGATGAAAAAAAGGAGAAAAAGGAGAAAAAGGGATCGGTGCGGGGAATGAAAAAGGACGGAAAAACGACGACGATGACAAGAAGGGAGAAGAAAATGAGAATAGACGAGAATGGAGAATGGTGTCGAGTGGATTGAAAGAGCCGTTTTTGAAGGGGAAAGGGGGCGGTGAGAAGAAGTGGACTGCTAAAGGGGAAAACATTGGGGAAGTTTGGTGTCATAATCTTCGTTTTGATACTTGAAAGGGTTGAAAGTCAATTAATAGAGATATCAGTATAGTACTCAATACAGTACAGTTTCTTCTTCCTTTAGAAGAAAGGAAGAAGGAACTTTACTTTACCTTCTTCCTCAATAAGGTCCAGTTTCTTCTTTCAACACTATTTCTAAAAGTTCTAACATTTACTGTAATGAAATGATGTCAATTTAATGATTGTAAATTCTGAGGTAATCTTTAAAAGTCTGAACGGATCTGTACCGTATTCCTCGTTTAAATCCTTATCTCATTTTGATTCACCAACAAAAAAACAGCGACGAAATTGGCACCAATGACCAGCCTAGGTACATAACGGTTAGCCTAGCCGTAAACATAACAACTTGCTCATCAAATTGAATGTCTTAGCAAAGTTTTTTGGAGAAGCTCTCACCCTAAAGCATAAGATGGTTCAGTACAAGAAGCAACACTTCTGTAACGTAAACAACATACCGTAAATACTGTAATAGTACCCCACCCCCTTCGTACAGTCGCGTAGTCGCAAAAGTTTTTTAGTATTTCATTGTTTTTCAAAGCACCCGTACTTTCAAAAAATACGTCTTTGGTATCAAAAAATAGCCCAGAGTTTCAGCTATTTTTTGATGCCTAAGCACGCATTGTAGCATAAACCAGTGTCGAGAAAAATGCGTCCAAAGCTAGACTACGCAACGCTCCGCACCGTCATTATGGGGGCGGCGGTACTATTACAGTATTTACGGTAAATAAAGCAACACTTCTGCTAGATCAAAAAGAACTTCGGATCTAAAAATGCCAAGATCTAGAGCTCTTAGATTGAATATCAAAACTTTATCGAAAAAGGATTCCCCAGAATGAATGTGGGTGACTGAGCACATCCCTTTACCCCAATGAAAGAACCCTTCCATCTCTTCCATCCCATCACATCCCTACCCCTCCCTCCATTTCTCCTCTCACACCCATCAGCTTCTCCCATAATTGGATGCACACCGGACACAGCTCTTCTCTGTCTTTTTCCTATCGTCTTAAAAAAGTGAGGCACTCGTCAACCCCCGCATCCAAGCCATTCATATTTCTCCATCGAGCGATGAAGCGATGTCAGGAATAGGAATGATAGATAGATTGAGTTCTGGAAGGGTTTTAATTGTTTGGGGATAAAGAATGGACTATTGATCACCAAAATATAAAGTATAAAGCTGTATACTGAGCTCGTTTAGATCAAAGAAGAAACTTTAGTGTTTTTTTTGTTTATAATTGCAGTTTCTGTTTGGTTTGGTTTGGTTTTTTAACGGTTTGGATTCATAATAAGTCTAACTAATGTTTTCAAATTGAATAACAGAATTTGCGCAGCTTGCTCGTTAATATACAAATTGATCTTTGATTTCTTACTTTATCATTGAATTTCAGTAGATTTTATCCCAAATTTGATATAGTTTTTAATAGTTTTGAGCTAGAATGAATAAATATAAACCTAATAAAGCCATCTATACTATTTTCCTTTTTGTTTATATCTAACTAAAGATACGCTGAGGGAATTTCCATTTATCATATTTTAGTTGAAAGGGCAATGATGCAAAGTACCTAAATAACAAAAACTATTCCACTAGTCTATTTTTGAATTCAACACTAGAATTCAAAGTCCAAAAATGCAAATAGTGACTATTTTAAGCTTTCCCAGCTCAATGATCCAATAAAGACAATAAAAGAATAAAAACAAAAAACAAAACGAAGCTCTTCTCTTTAACCAAGCTCAACTTCACAACAGCTCAATAACTCGTTTCGAAGAGTTCATTCGTTCAGTTCATTCGTTCTGTTCATTCGTTCAATCCATTCGTTCAATCCATTCGTTCAATCCATTCGTTCAATCCATTCGTTCAATCCATTCGTTCAATCCATTCGTTCAATCCATTCGTTCAATCCATTCGTTCAATCCATTCGTTCAATCCATTCGTTCAATCCATTTGTTCAATCCATTTGTTCAGTTCATTTGTTCAGTTCATTCGTTTCCTTTCAGAGAATTTCTCACCCCATTTTTTTCAGATAATTATGGGAATTCCCATCGCCTAATTGGAAGTCACACAAATTGAAAGGTAATTTGATTTGAGAAGAAAAGAGAAGAATCATGAAGCAAAAAATTCTTTCAAAGATTCAGGAATCTAAAGTCCAAAGCGCGAAAAAAGAGCTATCCTAAAATTGGGTAAGTTTTGAAGTCTTGAAGTTGATCGCGGCCGGGTGACGATAAAAATTTTTTTACGGCAACCACCTGTTTTTTTGTTTTAATATCGCTGATTTTATTATAAAAAGAATAAAAATCACCCGGTTAGAGTGATTTGATGGGTTTACAAATTTTTGGAGACACTGCAAGGCTTGGAGAAAAACAAGATCGTCACTCATCAGACACCTCAGCTAAAAGGCACCTATTTGAGAAAACTAAAAGCATAAGCGACCACAAATGAAAAAAGATCTAATTGTGTCAATCAAAGCGCTGAAGACGTCCTACGATGGAGGAGATCCAGTCACTTTTGGTGAAGATGCGCTGGAAATTGATAAGATAGGAAGCCGATTTGTACTGCTGTACTTGAGCGAAGATGAAAGTGAGCAAGAGGAAGAATTATAGATTAACAATTTATTTTTATTACTTTTTGTGCTTTTTATTTAGTTTTTAAATTTATCTGCAACTAAAACTCAATCGATCTAGACTGTGCTGAGGTGTCTGATGAGTGACGATCTTGTTTTCCTCCAAGCCTTGCAGTGTCTCCAAAAATTTGTAAACCCATCAAATCACTCTAACCGGGTGATTTTTATTCTTTTTATAATAAAATCAGCGATATTAAAACAAAAAAACAGGTGGTTGCCGTAAAAAAATTTTTATCGTCACCCGGCCGCGATTAATACCCCCCCCCCCCTTTAATTATAACAGAAACAAAACTGAAATATCTAGATTAAATCTAGCGATATCTAGATTAGATCTAGCAATATCTAGCAATGCAAATAGTGACTATTTTAAGCTTTCCCAGCTCAATAATCCAAAATCTAGCAATATCCAGCTGTAACTTTAAAAAAAAACTTACCAAATCGATCAGTCAAACGTATTTCGAAACACCCAAAGAGCTTAAACAGCCACAAAATGAACGGGAGAGTTCAGCCAGCGTTTTCTTCTTATCACAAAGAGAAAAATCAAAGAGAGATTGGGAAAATTTTGTGAAAAACGAGAAAAAGAGTGCTACATCTCGTTCTTAAAAGAAAAGCCTTTTTTTTGCTTTTTTCGTTTCCTCGGGAAAAATGGCGGA